AGTTTGATGCTCATTGGACAAATAGCTCATGAATTATTAATGAGTTCTAGAAAGTGGTGATAACAAATGACATACTTATTATAGTGTTATTGCTACACTCACCCCTTGTTGTCCATCAAAGAGGTGGCCTGGTAAACGTGCTATTGGATCTATTTGTTGATGTAACCATTCAGGGCCACCATTCAATACAATCTGCTCTCTGAGCCATACTAAACTAATAAAGGCACAAAGTGTACATGCAACTACAAAACAGCCACGGATACAATCCATCAGAACATTTTCACTGCAAAAAGAGAAACAGATATTCAATGTACAATCAACTGATCAACCAACCAACCAACTAATCAATCAATCAACCAATCAATCAATTAAGCAACAATAAACAAATCAACCAATCAATCAACCAACCAAATCATTTAATCATTCAATCAATTACGGTAAGCAACCAATCAATCAAGTAACCAACCAACCAACCAATCAATCAACCAAATCATTTAATCATTCAATCAATTAAGCAACCTATCAATCAAGTAACCAACCAACCAACCAATCAATCAATCAAAACATTTAATCATTCAATCAATTACGGTAAGCAACCTATTAATCAAGTAACCAACCAACCAACCAACCAACCAACCAACCAATCATCCAATCAATCAACCAACCAAATCATTTAATCATTCAATCAATTACGGTAAGCAACCAATCAATCAAGTAACCAACCAACAGGCATGTCGGAATTATGCGCGGATGCGGACGCGCATAATTGCCCCCTTTCCGCATAATTTACCAAATCGCGCATAATCGCGCATAATTCATGATTTTTTTTCCACATTGTACCATTTTTTAAGATAAATTGCCTTCTACTAATGTTTTTTGTGGTCCATTGACTGTTTCTTTGATAAAAAAACGTTCCCAAACATGCTTATAATTTTCCGATTCGTGGGCTTCACAAATGTACCAGGCGTTCAGAATTTCATCAGAAAAGAGTCTGGGCACTAGCATTAGTGGTCACCCTGTGCCTTACAAGATCACGTGACAAATTCCAATATGGCGTATGATACAAGTGAGACGTAAAGGTGCGAGAACGAAAAAGTCTAAAAAAAGATCTTTCCTTCAGTTGGTACTGCCTTCTATACTTCGTAAATAAGATAAAAACAGAGTTTTGCATGAAAAACAAACACAATAACCTAAAAATATGTAAAACTTCCCAAAGTTTTAACTTTCTTAATATCTTAATTTTTACCTTTTTATTTGCGCTTAGAAAAAGTTTTATAAGCGCTTTATAAGCTTAGATTATTATTATTATTATTATTAAAGTTTACGTTCCTGTGATGACGTCATCCCGCATAATTTTCCGCATAATTTACCCTTTTCTCCGCATAATATGGGGAAAAAATTCCGCATAATTTTGATTTTTTTCGCGCATAATTCCGACATGCCTGAACCAACCAATCAATCAATCAATCAATTAAACAATCCATCCATCCATCAACCAATCAATCAATCAATCAATCAATCAACCAACCAACCAACCAACCAACTAATCAATCAACCAACCGATTGATTGATTGATCGATCATTTAATTCTC